CTGGGCTGAACTAAGTCAGGGCATGGCTAACTCACAAAGTGAACACTGAAATAACCTCTGGGCTGAACTAAGTCAGGGCATGGCTAACTCACAAATTGAACTCTGAACCTGGAACCTTTGGATTGATATAATTGGCTATTTAATTCATTTGATGCATGAATTCAAGGAATCAATCCTGAAAACACAGAAGCTAGATCTAGTGGTGACCTCATTTACTGCTACAATACCCTTGATTACCAAATTCATCACTGATTAAATAAATAACATAAAATAAACAACTGTCACTGTTTTTGTCCATCCAGGCTTCTCTTTCAAGTTATTCAGTCTCTTAAAAAGCTTATGTTTCAATTGTAGATCGCTATCGTCAATAACTGCATGTCGTCAATAAAATTTACTGAGCAACTCAAGGTAATAATACTACTAGTACATTTCATTGCATTATGTCCTTTCCACCAGCCCCACCCCCACGGAGGGGGATTGGAATTTCCAAAGGTTGGGGAGGGACAGAGGAGGGTATATTGTGTAGCACCAGAAAATATCCATACCTCCCCCATGGAGGGGAATTGGAATATCCAAGGGGTGGGGGAGGGTCTGAGGAGGGTCTGAGGAGGGTATATTGTGTAGTACCAGAAAATATTCATACATCCCCACGGAGGGGGATTGGAATTTCCAAAGGTTGGGGAGGGACAGAGGAGGGTATATTGTGTAGTACCAGAAAATATCCATACCTCCCCCATGGAGGGGGATTGGGATTTCCAAGGGGTGGGGAGGGTCTGAGGAGGGTATATTGTGTAGTACAAGAAAATATCCATACCTCACCCATGGAGGGGGATTGGAATTTCCAAGGGGTGGGGAGGGTCTGAGGAGGGTATACTGTGTAGTACAAGAAAATATCCATACCTCACCTATGGAGGGGGATTGGATGGGTGGGGCTCATCTCAGTAGGGTATATTATTGTGTTAATGATGTGTGTTAATATTCTGGTATTTGTTTGACAGGACAGAACTCTAGCAGAAGTTGGTAAACCCACTTTTGGAGAGGACAGACTGCAAATATTCAAGAGTATTGTAGACTGTTACAACAGCATTGGCCAGGATGGGTAAGTTATGTCATGAATTTGCAAGATGTGATTCTATTGGAGGGCACACATGTGTAGAACAATAGAAAACAATGACCTTTCCCCAACCCCGCCCCTAAACCTAACCAATCACAGGGGACGTTGCATCGTGAAGCTTAACCCTTGACACCTGATGAACTTGTGGCTTGATCATCCAAGCTATTGCAATGGCTTACTGCAGCTTTTGATATTCTACAGTAATGATAAAAAGGTAAATTTTACACCGTGAAAAGATGAAAAAACGGACGCTAGTCCTTCGTCAGAGAAATTCGATATTCTGAGAACTCAGTAATTGCAAGCTGCTTGCTGAAATTTGGTTTTCCGTTGCTGTCAATCAAAACTAATCAGTCGGCATCTTTTACATTTTTGACTGGCGGCAGTAAAAAAAAATTCACAACAAGTGAAGTGTCTGCAGAATATCAAAAAACACAGTAACCAAAAATTTTAAGGCCTTGAGTGCTGGTCTGGCCAACAAGACGGAACTCATGGCCATCCCCAAAACATTGCACAACACTGGCACTAAGACAACTGGATGGTCTGTTAGTCACTTTGGACCTTAAACACAAGGGAAAACCAAAATTTAAGTCTTCAGGAATAAAGATTTCTGAATGTCATGCATATGATCTTTTAATACCTTATGTATTAGATGTTATGTACTATAGTATATTATACAGTATAATATACAGTAGCTACAACGAATATGCTTTTTTAATAGTTGCCGTTTTCTGTTGGAGGAAGTCTTTCTTGATCTGGAACCTTTCTTTGCTCAGATTATGACTCCTAATTGGTAAGTTGTTGTTGTCTTTGTTATTGTTGTCTTTGTTGTTGCTGTTGTTGTTGCTGTCGTTGCTGCTGTTCTTGTTGCTGTTGTTGTTGCTGTTGCTGCTGTTGTTGTTGCTGCTGTTGTTGTTGCTGTTGTTGTTGCTGTTGTTGCTGTTGCTGCTGCTGTTGTTGTTGCTGCTGTTGTTGCTGTTG